ACGATGCCCCACGCCACCCATGCGCTCCTCTAGTGTAGAGGTAACTTTCCCAAGAGGGGCGTGATGCTCCTGCCAAAAAAGGGAAGGCAGAGCAGCTCCAAAGCCAGTGGTGTTTGTGGAACCTGCAGCAAGCGGACAGGAGAATGCAAAGCTGCTGTTTCTAGGTCACTGTTGCTGGAAGTGGTCTGATGCACTTTTCCTCTGCCGGTGACAACCCGAAGCCACGAGTGGGCATCTGGGAGGTGGCACAAAGGCAGAGGCAAAAGGGAGCATGGAGCAGCCATCAGAGCTTGGCTGGAGATGATGCTTCTGTTGCCAGGCCTGTCTGGGAAGCAAAGAAGGCAGTCTGGAGCATCTCCTGCGGGAATGGCCACTCTTTCTGCTAAACCATGGTTGCTGAGTTCATACAATCTAACCATGGTAAAGCATGGAAACCATAGAACAGACCCTTGTTTCTCTCTGTGGTTACACGGATACCTTGCTTACTGTGCTGCACCACTCTGGCTGGGTTCGTACAACGCGACAAACCATGCCATGGCAGTTTCCACTGTGGTTCAGCCTTGCATGGGACCCAACCAGCGTGTAATTTTGCAGAGAGTTAAAAGTTGCATGACATCTTCAGGGCCAACGGGCGTGTGTTCCAAATCCATTTCCTGGTGCCCAAGTTCATCTGGTCACTGCCATTCGGAGAACGCTGAGCTTCCGCTTGAGTCCCATGGTGGCCATAGCGTTTAGGAGCAAAGTCTGGAAGGGAATTTGACGCAACTCCATAGCAATTTTATTCAGAACATGGCTGAAAAGACTGTGCCTACCTTTACACCACCCCAAGGACTGACAGTGCCTCCGTCCAGGAACCAGATTCAAAAAGAGGCACTTGTGCTTGTGTGGGAGAGTGAAAAGGGGAATTGCCGTTTCTTAATTCCTTTCTGCACAGCTGTGCACCCCTTGATACGTTCAGATCTTCGCCCAAGAGGAGCACCTCATGATTTTATCCCCTGCCTGGCCTGCTTTGCCCCTGACTTGCATGAGGAAACACCATTTGCTCCCCTGCTTCAGTCAGAACAGCATTTCATTTGCTTTGCCCTGAAGCAGCGAGGCGGCTCCTCCCAAGCCTTCTGCCCCGAGCAAGCTGCCCTCCCTGTCTCGCGTGGGCTGCTGAGCACAGTGGGGCTTCCAGTCACACTGGCGACTCTTGCTCGGATCCCTCCCCGTGTGGGACATGCACTTTTTCTCTTTCTCGCATTCCTAAAATGTTTCTTATGAACATCCACACTTTTTCTGGCAAAAACGGTGTTCTGCCTTTAGCCACGCTCGACAGCCAAGAACGCACCTTCTTTTCCTTTTGGGCTTTTCACGGAAACAGAGGACCCTCCGAAGCCTCCTTTGGGGTTGCGCACGCCAGTCCTCGGGGCGCACCTGTGCACTGCCACGGCGAGGCGATGGGCAGGCGCTGCACGATGCTTGGCCCACCGGTAGCCAATGGGCCCTTTGCCCCGTGGACCTGGAGTACGGAGCACCTCTGAGCCCGCCTTCCATGCAGACATGCCAGGGGCGGATTGCGGATTCGCCCAGAGCTTGCTGCTGAGTTGCTTCAGGTGGGTCTTCTGTGTGTCTCTGAGGATTTTGTTCATCTCGCGCTGTGCCTCCTTTGCTTTTTAGACGGGCCCTCGGTGCCTCCATTTGCATTGGATTAAAATGGAGGATGGTAGTGGGGATGGGGTGGAGATGCGGAGTTCACGGAACGTCACGATGAGCGGTCGAGCAGGTTTTCTGTATTATTTAACCTCCAGAAAAGTGCATTTCACTTTGTTATTTTGGTAAATGGTGGGGAATGTGAAGGATGTAACAGATGGAAATAGGCTGCCTAGGGGTATGCGAAAAAAGGCTGGGAAGCTGCTCTGGTATTGCCCCAGCTCCACCTACTGATCAAGGCATCACTCCTGGTGTCCATCTCAGTGCGGTCAGACATGCACCAAGGTGGCACCCAGCCAGCCAGGGTTGTGGTGAGTGTTAGGGTTCGGTGAAGCGCTTTGGATCATGCAAATGTTGCACAATCAACAGAAGAGGGAATCTGCAGGCAGGTTGACCAGAAAGAGTAGGTTGGCCTAAGACAGACGGTGCCGCCTTTTCTTAGCATACTTTGCCTCAGGCATGGCCATCTTTGCTACAGATGCCAAAACTAAATGATCCTCTTTGGTGCCCAATGGCTTAAAACTTAGACATCCCATGCAGCAAAGATCAAGGTGTCAACTGAGGCTGTTATCCATCAAAATGTATGGCTGTGGTGCTGTGAGAATCAACTGGCACTTGAGAAAGTGACAAACAAAGATGTTGTTTGCCCGTAGGAAGCAAAAGACGCAGCCTCAGTTCTCATGAGTCACTCAAAAATCTCTTAACGGCAAAGTAGCTTAAAGTTCAGAGCACAGTTCATTACTTGCTTTACCTTCTTCACAGTTCCTTGCCGCCACCAAAATAAACATCACCTTCTCCCCAGTTTATACAGAGAGAGAGAGAGAGAGAGA